ATGCAATAGTTGAATAGATAAAAAAACATATGCTGTCTACAAGAGTCCTACCTTAGAACAAAACACACAGGATGAGAGTGAAGGCACGAAAACATTTTTTTCTATTCAAATGGAAACAAAAAAAGCTGGGGTAGCAATACTTATATCTGACAAATTAGACTTCAAAATGAATGCCATCACAAGAGACAATAAAGGTCATTACATACTACTAAAGGGGTAGCTCCAAAAGAGGATGTAACACTGGTAAACATCTATGAACCCTATATAGGAGCACCTACATATATAAATAAAGTTCTGGAGGACTTTAAGTGAGAGATTGACAGCAATAGTTAATGATAGGGATTTTGTCACCACACTGATTTCAATGGATAGATCTTTGAGACAAAAATTAAAAAGGAAACAGTGACTCTAAATAAGACACTGGCTCAGATGAATTCAATTGACATTTAAAGAACATTTCATCCCAAAGCTGCAAAATACACATTCTTCTCAAGTGTACATGGATCATTTTCAAAGATAGAGCACAAAACAAACCTCTATATATTCAAGAAGATTGAAATCATATCAAGCATCTTCTCAGAACATAATGGAATGAAATTAATAATCAACTACAATAAAAATACTCAAAAACCGTCCAACACATGGAGGCTAAATACCATGTTATTAAACAACTAGAGGCCCAGTGCACAAAATTTGTGCATGGGGAGTTGTGTGTCCCTCAGCCCAGCCTGCAGCCATTTACAATTGCAACAAAAAATTAAGATAATTAGGAATAAACTTAACCAAGGAGGTACAAGATTTATACTTAGTAACCTTTAGGACTTTGACAAAAAAGATAGAAGAAGATATAAACAAGTGGAAGAATATAATTGTGTTCAGTATTGGTAGAATTAACCTCAGTAAAATGTCCATACTACTCAAAGCAATCTATAGATTCAATGCAATCCCTATTAAAATACCAAGGATATATTTTATAGATCTAGAATAAAAATTTATAAGGAACCAAAAAAAAAAAACCCCCAAAAAACCACATAGATACAAAAATCTTGAGAAAGAACAAAGTTGGAGGGATCACAATAACAGATATCAAGTTATACTGCAAAACTACTGTAATTAAAACAGCCTGGTACTGACACGAGAGCAGGTATATAGATCAATGGAACAGAACAGAGATCCCAAATATCAACCCATGCCATTATGCTCAATTGATATTTAACAAAGAATCTAAGAGCATACAATTATTTAAGAGAGTCTCTTCAACAAATAGTGCTGTAAAAATTGTCAGGTACATGCAAAATATGAAACTAGACCACCAACTTATACTATACACAAGAATGAGTTCAAAATTGATAAAAGACTTAAATGTAAATAGTGAAACCATAAAAGTTCTAGGAGAAACCATGGGCATCAAAATCTCAGATATCTGTCCTAGCAATATTTATGCAGCTACATCTCCTACGTCAAAGGGAACGAAGGGGCTACATCAAAATAAAAAGCTCCTGCACAGCAGAAGAAACCATCAACAAAATGAAAAGGGAGCCCACTGCATGGTAGAACATATTTGGAAATGATATACCCGATAAAGAGTTAATATCCGAAGTATGTAAAGAACTCATACAACTTAACAAAAGGAAAATAAATAATACCATTAAAAAGTGGGCTAATGACCTAAATAGACATTTCCCCTACAAGGACATACAAATGGCCAAGAGACATATGAAACCATGCTCAAAGTCACTTATCATTTCATAGATGCAAATTAAAATGACAATAAGCTATCATCTCACACCTATCAAGATTGTTACCATCAACAAATCAACAAATGGCAAGTGCTGGCAAGTTTGTGCAGAAATGGGAACCCTCGTGCACTGCTGGTGGGAATGCAGACTGATGCAGCCACTATGGAAAAATATGGAGTTTCCTAAAAAGAAAAGAAAAGAAAACAAACAAACAAACAAACAAACAAAAAAACTGGAACAACATTTGACTCAGTTATTCTTCTTCTAGGAATATACCCTAAGAAACCCAAAACACTAATAAGAAAAAAGAATGCATTCCTATGTTCATAGAAGCACAACTTACAATAGCTAAGATCAGGAAACAGCCCAAGTGCCCACCAGCAGATGAGTGGATAAAAAAGCTGTGGTACATTTACACCACGGAATACTATGCAGCAGTAAAAAAGAAGGATCTCTTACCCTTTGAGACAGCATGGAAGGGCATGGATAGTATTATGCTTAGTGAAATAAGCCAGTCAGAGAAAAACAAGTATCACATGATCTCACTCATATGTGGAATCTATTGAACAAAATAAACTGCTGAACAAAATAAATCCAGATACATAGAAGCATGGAACATATTGTGGAATCTTAGAAGGCAGTCATGGGTGGGTGTCTGGGTGAAAAGATATCAAATAAAGAACTTGTATGCATATCTGCATAACCCATGGACATAGACAAAAGGGCAGTGAAAGCTTGGGCCAGGGGTGGGAGCAGGCTAGAATGGGTCAGTAGTGGAGAAGAGGGGGCAATAAAAAGGAGAAAATGTAATACTTTCAATAATAAAAATTAAATAAAAATAAAACCCTATGTAAAAAATAAAATAAAAATATAATAAAAATTCACATATATAAAAAAAGAAAGTAAAAAGGTACTCTACAGAATGGGTTTATATACTGGCAAATTATATACAAGCATTAGAGACTAGAATTCAAGCTGTTTCCTTAAATAGAATTTAATTGTCATGGCCAATTAAAATTTTGTAATTTAGAAAATAGAAAATAACCTATTTCACAGAATTAATGTTTAAAATATATAGAATGTGTAGTGGCTAAATAGCAAAAAGAGAGGCAACGGACTTGAGTTAACAATTTCAAAGGAGACATACAACTGGCAAATAAGTACATGAAAAGAAGAACAACATCATTGTTATTTGATTGAGATAATTCATACCTACAAGGATGATTATTAAAAAATTACATGTGTGGACAAAATGGAACTCTTGCAGACTTACCCATTGAGTGAATGTAAAATGTTGTAGCTACAGTGAAAAACAATTTAACAGTTCCCTAATAAACTCAACAAAATATTGTCATGTGCTCTAGCAATTCTACCCATAGGTCTATAGTCAACAATTTGAAGACTGAAACAAATATGTATAACTGTATAAAAATGTTCATTTTAGCATTATTCACTGTGCTTATAAGGTAGAAACAAATGTCCATCACAGGGTGAATGGATAAATAAAATGTGCCATATGTATGCAAAGGAATAATATTGAGCTATAAAAAAAAATAAAGTTCTAATTCATGCTTCAATATGGATGAATCTTGGAACATTTTGGTAAGTAGGAAAAGCCAGAAATGAAAAAACAAATACTGTATGATTCCACTCATATGAAATATTGTTCATTGTCCCCTTGTCTCCATAAACATGTCTTCATGCATATACTAGTACATACACACATGTGAACAAGATTGATCCAGGGCATAAGCCAGTTGCCTAAGGTCACAAATCAATTATAACATTTCAACTCAAACCTCTTCTGTCTTAATCATGTATTGCATGTATTTGGGAGGGATGTGTGTGTGTGTGTGTGTGTGTGTGTGTGTGTGTGTGCGCAGATGTTTAAATCGCTGTTTAGTATAGGTGGCTACTACTACAGATTCCAAGTGCCATTTAATATTTAATGGTGACATTCTGTAACCTCTCTTTGGATGCTTGCATATTTAAAATAGTCTAAGTGATGTGAAATGGTTAACAGATTAATCTAAATTTCTTAAAGGACAAAGTTTTCTAGCTTTTTTAGTTTTAACTAATTAAAAAATTAAACTACACATTAATTTTAATACTTGATAACTACCAGAATTGTCAGGGAGCAAAAATAAAATCTGATGTTTTAAAGAACCTTACTTCAATTGTTAATAACAATGCTACTAACATTTCTAATTGAATTTCCTGCTTAAGCCAAGTGCAGTGATTAGTGTGCATTTTCAAGCTTCTCAATATATTGATCCTGTAAGTCCATGGAAATGTAGAGCGAACAAATGGCTGAATTCGCTTAGCTCATGTCTGAACTCAGGCCTCCTGGACACCAGGAGCACCTCCTAAATGCCAGGCTTTGGTTCTGCTTAAATATGACAGTAGTAATGTTTATTAGCCATCATAGGTATCTTACTACTATCTCTACAGGTATTAAATAAGATGCATGTTCATTATTTTCTCTGGAATTGTGCAAAATTGGAGAAATGGTCACTTAAAATGAAACATAAGGCCTAAGATTATTAAAACATCATTGCCCTAGCTCTCCCGAAAAGCAATGAATAAATTTGTGTTAATTACAATATGCCTACCTTAATGCTTTCTGAAGTTCCACTAGGAAAAGAGGTCCCTCATCATTTTCTGCCTTACTCTGAGGCACACAGTCTGAAATGCTGTTTAAACAGCTGCCCTACTCTCCCAGAAAAGTGGGTGGACTGCAGTCATGGAAGGAATAGTTCCAGCATTACAGAACAATTTGTGATGCGGTAAGGTTTTTGCACTACAAAAATGTGAAATATAATAATATGATCATCTCACCATTCATACTTGAAGATATATTTCCATAAATCAGGCAATGTGCACATTCTGTCATAGTAAAACATTTATTCGTTAAAGTGGTATAGATTATTCAAGATTCTACAGTCTTAAATCATGGATGGCAATGTGACATGGATTGATACAGAACTCGATGCCCAATGTAGGCTTATTTCTTTCCTTCTTTTAAAAAAAATAATTGTGGGCCAGAAGAAAAACAATTTGGTTTTAAAAGAGATGAACAGTGATCTGATGGAGCCAGCTGCACCGACATCAGAGACTTCTGCTTCAGCTCCTGTGGACAATTTCTTAAAGGACATCAGTTCAACAATTAGCCTTTGTGAATTGAAACTTTTTTTTTTTTTGAATTTTATCCAGTAAAAATATCAGTGGCAACATTTTTTCAGGAGAGAGAAGTGATGCTCTTCAGATTAACTCCAGCCTCTGAAATGAAAGGAAAGAATATATACATAAAAAAAGAAACACATAGTTAATAAGATCATCGTGCTAGAAATCCAGAACTTGCTGAATTATAAGAATTCAGGCAGGCGCGCCTTGGTGTAAAATACACAGCGTTCCTCTGACAGCAGCCTAGACATGCACAATAGCACTTAAGATATTACTTGGTCATTTAAAATGGTGGATATATAAAATAATTTTATTTTAAAAAGAATCTGAATGTATTTAGCCTAAAACGCTATGCAAGTCAAAGCCAAATTGTGAAATGGAATTTTCCCTTGCTTTGATGTTTCACATGTACATTCTCAAGAAAAAACAATGATTTTATTCATTAATGTGTAGCATCTAAGTTATAATAAACATTTATACTGGTTTTTAAAACATGAACATATTATATAAAATTTGTTTATTACATCTAAAACCTAAGTGATCTCTACCTTTTAAATATATTCTGCTGGGAGTTTAGTATAATATTTAAATTTTATAAAATTTAATTATAAACTTTAATTATAAAATTGTGAAGACAATTATACATATTCAATAATTAGTTCCTCATCAACAGGACAAATAGAATAAATGTGCAAATTGACAATAATTCACAAGCAAAGTTAATAGTTAACATGATTTTAAAAGAAACAATATAAAAACCATTATTAAAATACCTAAATACATTAATGTATTATATACAATATATACTTCTATAATAAATTTATAATAATAAACTATAAATATGTTTTCCTGAATGTTCTGAACACTTAATACATAATACTACATTTAATATTTGTCCAGAAAGTTTATGCTTGATGAAGATGCAAAGTCATTTTTGAGAACTATACAATTTTATACATTTAAAGTAAAAGTAATTTTCTTCTCATTCAAAAGCAACTACATATTTACAACTTAGGGGTTATAAATATATGGCACAAATAAATCATGAAATATAGTTTCTTAGTTATCTACTAAATATTCTATATCAAAATGCTGATGCAGATCCTATTTGGATAACTTGGGGATAAAATTATTAAAGTATATCATGATCATTTAGATTATTTGATAAAGGTAGGTAAGATACTGAAATATATTGAAGAAAACATATTTCAACCACTTGGTAATCTATGTAAGTGTAACTAATTTTGGAACAAACTAATTTTTTAGAACTAACGAACAAGGAATTTACACAATGTTGGGGGATTGTTAATAGATAAGAGATGTGTATCTTATTTATAATAAATAATTACCCTGGAAATAACTGAAATGCAGGTGTCACTTATCATACTTTACCTGGAAGATTATTTTTAAAAATGCAAAATCACTAAATTAGAATGGGATATATCTATATTCCTTTCTGTTAGGTTTATAGCATAACCTATTTTGATGAAGCTGGATCTCAACAGGATTTTTTTGTTATACCTAATATGTTCCCTTTAATAGAAAAATATATAATTCCATTATGCCCAAGTTCAAGTTTCAGAAAGTAAGTAAATATAAAAAAAATATAGTGTATAGTATAATTTGTTTGCCTTTGTAAATAAACCCTTCCAGAATAGCAACTTTATTTTAATATCAAAAATTACAAGAGCATTAGAAAGAAAGAAACAAAATAGATTGTAATAATTATGACAAAATTTTACAAGAACTAAAAATGATGAATGTGGGTTGATTCAGGGTGTTTCAGCAATGGCCCTCAAATAACAGTTAAAGGGTATCATGTATAACATGGTGGATAATCTTCTTAAAAGTCAAAGAAAAGAAAAAATTAAAGCTACCTCAACATAAAGAGTTGGGAAAATGTCCTGATATTAAATGGATTGTGGGAAAATGCTGTTGCTGCCTTTACTCAGATATAATTAAGAGCTATGAGAGATTTTTATCTTATATAGTTCTAATATCTATAAAAGAATGAAATGGTTTCTAAAGATCAACGCTGATACTAGGGTTCACTTTTTTTCTGATTTTTCTGTAATTTTTAAATAAATATGTCAAAAGTGTGCTTTAATTATTATAAAAATATTTAGATGTTTTCTATATCAGAGCCTATTTATTATTCTTATTTTTTTAAATAAAAGCATTCAAGAGATATCTGGATCATATACACACATTTGCTTTGCTGCATTGCTCTTATTTCCTTTGTTTTCACATAGTTAGATTTGTTGTTTATTTATAAACAAAATTACTTTTTATTCATTTATATGTTACTAGAGGCCCAGTGCATGACATTCGTGAACAGGTAGGGTCCGTAGGCCACAGCTGATCAGGGCCTTCGGGCTGCCAGCCAGGGCCTCCCTTTCTTTCTGCGCCGCCCCCTGGTGGTCGGCGTGCATCATAGTGAGCGGCTGAATCTGGTTCAGTTGAACTCCACAGGGCACAATTTGCATATTAGCCTTTTATTATTAGGATTAGTTTCTCTAAAAGGTTATTGCATCTGTAGCAGTGTTTTTCTGACAAAGTTTTAAAAAAATACCTTAATTAATGCTAAGCAAAATAATCAGAAATCAAATTTATTAAAATCAGGAACCAATTATCTTAAATATTGGTGTGAGCAATCACAACATAAGCAATGTACACATATTTTGTTGGACTGAATATAACAGATATTTTTAAGACATTTTACTTAAAGTATTTGCAGTCTTAAATGCAAGCTAGTCAACTCTTCTTATTTAAACGGCCAAATTAGCATATCAATTATTTTACTAAGTTCATTTGAAGCATAAAAATCTTTCAAAGATAAGGTTAATTTAGATGTAAGTGTGAGTTTACTTGTAGAATAATTATCACTAACTTATCTCTGATTTCTCTCTCCTTTGCTCTTAACTCAGTGTGATTTAGATTCTCATGATTTCATTATAGAAGTATTGTATGTGATACATTTAACTATTTTAAGCTTACTCTATATCTATACACTACAGGAAAGATCTTAAGGAAGAAAGGCACATTCTGGCTAATGGAAATAAAATAAATGTATTAACACTTCACCCTCAGATAAAAATTATCTTACTAGATACCTGCATATGGAAAAATACACCTAACCCACTAAATGGATGAAACTGTTCTGCCCTCTTTGTACTTTCTTTAGAGCTTGATGTCTATTAGGGACTGTGGTGCAATCAATTTAAAATTGTTGCCTTGGAAATATTTTTATCCATTAAATAGAACATGGGTTTATTGCTTACTTTTATTTTCTATTTACAGAAAGAGCATTTGATTTAAATTTAATACAATAAGGAGTGTCCAAAACTTTGGGAAATATATTTGTGTCTGGGTAGGAATAGACATGTGTTAGAATCATGAAGAAATTATAAACTTAAGATTACATTTTATATTTCCCATGCCCCTTCAAAAAGAGTGGGTCAGCTGTGAGCACAGCTGGAATTTCTGCCAGCTCTCCTCCCTTCATTCACACGCAGAGCATCCTGCTGACATGTGAAAGGCCAGGAGATGACTCTGAGCACACAGGCCATTGTCTCCTCACAGGGGCACCATGATGGTTGTGCTGACAGTTGTAGGGACTGTAGGCTTGCTGCAGCAGAAACCACTTATCAAATAGCAAGATTAGTTTTACTGAGATCATATGGTGGCTTAAATCCAATAATAGAATGTATTAAGGAGTTGGGTAACAAGTGAATGATGTATGGCCACTAAATTTTGTTAAAATACTTCTTTGCATGTGATTTTTTTTTTTTTTTGCTAATGCTTGTAAAAAGCAAAAATAATTAGACAACATGGAAGGACATTTTTAATGACGTGATAACATAATCATTTGTTTCATAAAATAAACTAAAAAGAGACTCAACAAAATATTTTTTAAAGGTGACATATTTCACATGTACACATTCATTATGTAAACTTAATATAAAACACACATATACATGAATTTACTGCATGTGCAAATGATGAATCACTGAAAGATTATACCCCAGATTATTAGGGTCTGTGTCTAGGGTTTTTAAAGTTGCTATAATTAATACTAATTACTTTAGGACAAAAATGTCATTAATATAAATCTTACTTATCATATTGGCAAATCCTATGCTATCTCTAGTAGTACACAGACTTTAAATTATTTAAATTCGGCTTATAAGAATGTAGTAAATACATAAACAAACCCAATAATATGTAACATGTCCCATGAAATATGAATGATTGGGATTCAGACCGATTTCCTGCTTCCAAATCTTAATAGAACATCTAGCACCATTCTGGACCATGCTTCTGATGGATTAACCATTTAGTTCCTTACACCTTTCAAAAGATATCTTAACTTTCAGGACACTAGTTGTCCAAAGTTACATGATAAATGAACTTTTTAAATACAAAAAAATAAAAAGGCAGGAAAAAAGCTGGGAAGGAGAGGAAGGAGACAGAGAAGCCAGGGGTTAAGGTTGAGAAGGGGAAGAGGAGTGATGGGAACACAATGCACCTTTAGGCAGGGCAGCTCAGTACACAAAACAGAACATAAAATATGTGGCAGACGCTGTGCTATTGATTGTTTCTAGTGAGCCATCTGCTCTTTTTTTTTCTCTCTCTCCCCCCCACCCCCCCCACAGCATAGGAATGGAATCCTAAATTCAGCAAAGAAATGATGCATGAAAAACCATTTGTTTGATTTGGAGACACAATTTTTAGTAGTAACCTTCAATGATTGTCCAAGTTATTGCAAAATGTAAAAAAACAAAACCAAGATCTTACTTTTATTACCAAGAAATAAATCAATGGCCTCTTTTAGAACTTTGAAAAGCAGGACATTTTTCCTGTGCCAAACTTTAAGCAAATGGCTGATGATTCCAGCTGTTTCAACAGATTGCTAAAGTGCTATTCTGCTCTGGAAACACACTTTCTGATCCAATTAAAATGCAGGAATCAAATACTCATTTGAAACTTAAAAAAATAAAAACACATCAAGAAGAGTAATTTGTTGCTGACAAAAGGATTCCATGAATATTTCATGGATTGTCTTTTGCTCCATTTTAGAGCAGCTTCTCTCATTTTAGATAAGAGAGAAACACTTCTGCTCCTCCACTCTAATGAAATGTAAAGTATCATCAACTCCTCTTCGGATGTGGATGTCAAGGATAGGAGTGAACAGATTCTTATTAAGCCACTGTCTTCCCACTGGAAAATATTTTTAAATGCTCATTATATCACGCATGACACCAGCAGTGACTCAGTCATATCAACGTTCCCTTTATTCTTACAGTATGAGTCAGATATGTTCACTTAACCAGAAATATGTACATTTAGGAATTGGAAATGCACTTAACTAAATTGAACTTTATTCTTTACTGTTGACATTAAGTTGTAATTGAAATTTCAATAAGGTACATAAGCTAGCAAAACAAAAATTTAAAATTCTTTTACAAAAGAAAATATTCATTTAAAGTGCTGATGTAGCCAAAACTGGTTTGGCTCAGTGGATAGAGCGTCGGCCTGCAGACTGAAAGGTCTCGGGTTCGATTCCAGTCAAAGGCATGTACCTTGGTTGCGGGCGCATCCCCAGCGGGGGGTGTGCAAGAGGCACCTGTTCCATGATTCTCTCTCATCGATGATTCTAACTCTCTATCCCTCTCTCTTCCTCTCTGTAAAATATCAATAAAATATATTAACAAACAAACAAAAATAAATAAATAAATAAATAAAATAAAGTGCTGATGTATGTGACAGATAAGAATCTCACCTGTGTTTCCTGGACAATCTGGTCAATATTAGACAGCAAAGCATCTGGGAATAAAATTTTCAATATCATGAACAATTCATTTTTGAGGAACAGACCCTAAAACACTTGTCACTGAAATCTTGATAAGATTCCCCTTAACAAAGATTTAGCCACATTTTTTTCTTTAACTTAACAGTTCTTAGGTTAATTGCAATTGACTTTTATATGGTTACATACTGATACATAATACCATAAAGGTAGAATTTTTAAGAATATTACTCTAGTTCCAAAAATGAGTAATTATCAATATGGAGTGCACTTTTCCTGCAAGGACTTTAATAGTATAATAAGGCTTCTATTCATTTTCTCTGCTCAAAGTTAACATATCAACTACAGTGTTGCATTTCATTAATATGAAAGATATGTGAAGGAAAAACAAAATCCAAAAGAGAAAATGTAATTTCACAATATTCACCACAGAGTATGAAATAATCATTTGCAATAAAAGCCATTATTCATTAACCCTATAAATAGTGCATTTTACCATGTATCCATTTATCCTTATATGAAACAGTAATGTTCTAAATACAAATATTCTGCCTTCAAATGTCTGTATGTATATACTAATTGGCTATAAATGTTTAATACCATTATGTAGCCCTATATAATGCACACATTCTATATCTTTCCAAAATATCTGGTTTCTCTTCAGATCACATAAATCTTTCACCTTTTACCAAAATATTTTTTAAAGCAATTACTTCTACTAGTCATTAAGAACTGACAGATGATAAAGAAAATTTAGGTGTCTCAGGAAAGTCATTCTTAGGGTTCACAAGTCAGTGTGATGAGAATAGTACAAAATACTTAAAAAACTTAATCACAAACATCCATATAAATTTACAATGGCCTCTAGAGATTAGTTTTTACATCTCTAGATTATTGAAAGCAATATTAAGATGTGTCCACATTATACAGAAGAAAATGATTAGGAAATTACATTATGGCAGAGCCAACATAGTATACTATATAATAAAAGGTTAATATGCAAATCAACCGAATGGCCGAATGACCAGTTACTAAGATGTGCACTGACCACTAGGGGGGCAGATGCTCAATGCAGGAGCTTCCCCTGGTGGTCAGTGCACTCCCACAGTGGGAGCACCACTTAGCCAGAAGACGGGCTCATGGCTGGTGAGTGCAGCGGCAGTGGTAGGAGCCTCTCCAGTTTCTGAGGCAGCACTAAGTAGCAGGGCACTGAGCAGTAAGGAGTAGCAAGGAAGCAGGCAGTAAGGAGAGAGGGGTCCAGGACTGCAAGAGAGATGTCCGCCTAATGGCTTAGGACATCCCATGAGGGCTCCTGGCGGACATTCCTTTAGGGCTCCCAGACTGCTAGATGGTGCAGGCCAGGCTGAGAGACACCTCCTCTCCCCCCGTACAGTGCATGAATTTAGTGCACCAGGTTTCTAGTTTGTAATTTTTGATAAAATTGCCAAGTTTTAACATTATTTTATATAGGTAATTTCATACTTAAATATGCACCTAGTAACAAACTGCTATTTCTTACGTCCCTCTTCATATAGTACCATATTTTTAGTATAACTCAATTGCAGTAATATGTTTATCATTCTTTCTATGTTGAGTGATCCTCTGTACTGATACAAGAAGGATAGTTTCTATTGCAAAACAATAACAACAACAAGCATGAGCACACACACACACAAAAAAAAAACAACCTAAAACACAAAAAGCAAAAGACAAAATATTTTTTTTTATAATCCCAGCATTGTTAATCTAGGATGAGAGGGAAATGATTGAGTAATCTTAGAGACTTTCCTGCTTCCAAATCTTGATAGAACATTTATTTAGGTGTAAAATTCCAGTCATTACATTTGGTTTATTTTCTCTTTTATCCATGAAATTTTAAAACTGAGATATTTCTTACCCATAACTGTAACTCAACTAACATTTACCTCACAAACATGTCATTATTGTCATTATTATTATTATCACCGTCAACTGAGGAGGATAAGAAACTATGCCTTTCCCATCTAATCCATCTCTCTGTGAAGTCCTCTCCCCCAAACACTTCATACATAGGCACCTCCACACACAGTGGCCTCATCCTGAGAGCCATGAAAAGGCTTTGCAAGGAAAAGGAGTAAATAGTTTTTTTTTTTTAATCTAACTGAGCATTGCCTTTTTAGCATTATAGAATGGAAGTTGAATTCCATCACACCGAGAAGAGAATGGGCTCATATCTGCAGTCTTTGTTGAAAAACATCCCATTTACCTTTGCAATTATATGTACAACAAGTTGTTTCATGTTTCTGGAACTTTGTTAGCTATTGGTATTTTAATGATTGTTTTTAAGTTTATTATTGTGAGTAAACAGGGGTGAAATACTAAAAGTTAGGAAATGAGAGTCAATTGATGTGAACTTTGTGATAATAGTTCTATTATTTTTAGCTTTATAAACGAAACATTTAGTTTTCCTTCATTGTTAATACAAACAAATAAACTAAATTAAAATTTAGTTTGGAAGTAAGAATTTTATGAGTGCTTTCAAATAAAGTAGAACATACTTGACAAAAAAAAAGATAAATGGAATATGTTTACCTTAAACAAATTCCTTAAATTCTTATGGAGAAAATATGTATTATTCTGCAGTAGACTTGTTATATTTTTAGATAATGTACAATGGTCCCCCAACTTATATTCTAAAATTTTAATAAAATATATATTTATAAATCAGCTGTAATCAATAGTTTGAAAATATAAAATAGGTTATTATAACCTCAATTTTACTAACTATATTTAATGAAAAAAAACAACATAGGAAATAAATTTGCCAAAATGAGGATGTTAACAGTATCTAATTTACATTATTATATTTATTGTACTTCTGTATTAATCTATTTTAGATTTAAAATAAATAATATTCCCCCAAACAAATTTTGTTTTCTTTTAGAATTTTGAGGCAACTTTCAATGCTTGATTATTCCTTCATGACACTCAGATATTATATATACTTTTTAAAAAGTTCTACTTTAACAGGATTTTGATATTTTCAAATTAGAGACAATTATTAAAAATAAACAAAATACAACAAAGGAGCCCTAACTGGTTTTATTATCTTAATTATTATCTTAATAATATCAGAGATTCCTTTTCTGGGGATTCATTTATTTAAGTCTCAAAAGCTTTTCTATATTCATGATTTTTAAATATTATGTAGGTAAAAACTAGAAAGGGGTAAAATAATATACTTTTCTCAATTAACAACACCTAAGAATTAAGTAATTCCTGTTGCATTAAAATGTTTAGTTATTTAGATTCTTGCTATTGTAGATTGTGCTGCTATGAACATAGGGGTGCAAATATCCTTTCCGATTGGTGTTTCTAGTTTCTTGGGGTATATTCCTAGAAGTGGGATTACTGGGTTCCGAAGGACTTGTATACATGCATATAAGTACAACCAAATGGACATAAAACTCTGGGGAGGGAGGGGATGAGTAGGAGGAAGGGAGGGGGGTAAAAAAAAAATCAATAAAATATGTAAAAAAAATCAATAAAATATGAAAAAAATAAAAAATATAAAATGTTTAGTTATTTAGCATTATTATAGAAAGACAAATATCATATAATCTTATTTATATGTGGAATCTACTAAATAAAACAAAATGAAACCCAAGTTCATTGACATAGAAAATGGATTTGGTGGTTGTCTGAGACAAGGGAGGGAAGGGAGGGCAAAATGGATGAGGAAAGTCTAGCGGGACCAACTTCCAGCTATAAAGTGAATAAATCATGGGATGTAATGAACAGCATGGAGAATATGGTTAGTAACACTGTATGTAGATTTAAAAGTTGCTAAGATAGTATATTTTAGATGTACTCATCACAATAAAAAAAGAATTCTATAGTAACTGTGTGGTGATGGATGTTAAATTGTTGTGGAGATAATTTCACAATATATACAAATATGGAATCATTATGTTGATACCAGAATTATACCACAATTAAGAAAGAAAAACAAAGAAAAACATGAGTTAAAAATAAATAAAAATACATAGTTGGCATTAGAGCATTATGACAGAAATAGTGCTGAAAATACACATAGTGTTTTGATTTTATAAAGTACTACAAAATGTGATCTCCTTTATTCTTCATAAGAGCTATGTAGCTGACACATGCATGCTGATTTGATTTTAGAAATTGTGAAAGGCAAACTTCAGAACCAGAGCAGAGAAGGCACTTAGGAAACAGCCAAGCCAATAAAAGCCCATTAGACAATTATTTCCAAGCCTGGCCTGGAAAGTAATCTCTAACTGCTTTAATATTGCCCTCTTTTTTATGTCTTCATAATGAGACGTGTGATAAGAAGTACTTCTGTAAAGTTAAAATTAACGGAAATTTTTATATATGCCTCTAACAGAAGGAAATTAAACTAATGATTGACATTCTTTAACTGTGCTTTGAATGGTATTTCAAGTGATCTGAGTTAATAAAGGCTTATTATATTATGACTAATTTTTTTTCTGCAAGTTTCCTACATGAACCTTATTCTCAAAACAAAACCAAAAATGAAAAAGCCTTAATGTTAACTCTCATTTACCAATCTTTAATAAGAGACCATCATGTTAGTGTATAATGCTGTAAGGTTTTCAACAAGTTCATAGGAACATTTATCTGTAGACCTTGATTTCAGTGAATATCAAAAACACCACATTAACAAAGAGCAATATTATTGCCTGACTAAATTTAAAATATTTTTTTAAGCAGTGTGATTTCTAATTACATTTCATTGCAGGTTTTTGTTAAAATAATAAGTGAAGTTACTCTAAAAGTTAAACATTCAATTCAGTATCACAGTGTAGGAAGAAAAAATGAAACCACTATCTGGTTAATGAGCAATGACTTTATATTGTTTATAAATGTAATAAGAATTTCATTTAAAGTTTTAAAATTACCTGGTAATAAAAATAAACATCCCTCTGATAGAAGCAGCCTTGTATTTTTATCTCCCTTTTTAACTTACATTGAGAAAAATATAAAACTCATTCATTTAGCAAACGTGTATTAAATGCAATGAAAACACTTTCATATGCCCAGGTAGATGCATATAAAATTATGGAATATAATTTAAAACTGAACTGGATATTTTTATAAATGCAAAATCAATGGATTTTTTTTTTTTGCTTCTCACTGAGAAAGTTATGTTCTAGATGAGAAATGTCATAGAACCATGAAGGCATCAGAACCAAAAATGTTTTTCAGAAGGGTACTTATTTTATCACTTGTCTGGATATACTTATTTAATTTTTATTTTAAATAATATAATAACACAAAGTTGTTCTCTATAATATTTATCTAAAAACACATACCACTGTCATTGATAGAAATAGGCAATCTATTCACTGAAAAATACCAATTATTTATAGGTAGTCCTTTTAAGACTGGAGGAGAAATATCATTATTTATGCAATACTTTATTTTTCCTATGGCAATTTTCATTTTGTGATCTGCTATTGCAGAACAACCTGGAAGCCAGTTCTTTTTGGGAAAGGCACTGCTACTATGTCATGCTTTTTTCCTAATCATTTCCATATATATATATATATATATGTGTGTGTGTGTGTGTGTGTGTGTGTGTGTGTGTGTGTATGTGTGTGTGTATATATATGTGTGTGTGTGTATGTGTGTGTGTGTATATATGTGTGTGTGTGTGTGTGTGTGTGTGTATAGATAACTGTATACTAGAAGGTTTATACACCTTGGATCTATTTAGCCATGTGAGAGAGAAACAAGACTGAAATTTCAAATTCCAACTTCCTATGTGAGTTCTCAAAATAATTTTTCATTAAAAAAAAAAAAAACACAAACAGGTTACACAGTGCTTGTGAATATACACTCAGAATTTGAGAGTTGTTCTTCCACTACGCCCATAAGAACTGTTGGGTTGAATTAACATCACATTCATAGACATGCTTCTTTTAGAAAATAGTCCACATGTGCTCGGTGAGTTAATATAACAATAGTATTCCTTTAATTCTCCATCCAGGGAGTACCTGTGCCTTGCTCTGGACTTCTCAGCGGGCAAAGTGAGAAACTTACTTGGCTTTGAATGTGCTCTTTTAGATGCGGGCCCCTCTGTGACAGAATCAGGAGGTCGACTAGCTAACTGCAATGCAGTAGAGTTGTTCCTGTTAGTGTTTTGGGACTCAACGTTTGTGACAGCTTCATTCTGCGGTTCGGTACCTGGCTTTGTGCCTGTCTTTCTTTTCTGCTTTTGGGACACAGAAGTGCTTGAAGTCCAGGTAGGAGGCAAAGCAGAGGTAGTGGTAGAGGAGTCCTGACTCGAACAAACTTCTGAAGATTGTATCACACTGTCACTGGCAACTTTACAACACGGAGCACTCTCTTCATGCCCCACAGCTTGCTTGGACATGGACTGGGGCAGCGTCACACTGCAGCCTTGCATTTGAGCCCCATTTGTTTGAGAGTAGACATTGCTGACCTTGGTGACCTTGTGTTGGCCATTATTGTTACAAACCTTATACCGGATCATTAGAATGATGATGAAAACCAGCACGGATGCTACAATTATTCCACCAATAATAATAATCATGGTGCCTCCCAAAAATTGGGATTGCATGAAATGGCATCGCACGTAATCCTGTTCTGTAGTAAACTGGATGCAACCCACGACTCTTGTGGCAGTGAGAGAAGTGATGCCATCATCGTATATTGCCAAGACACACAAGTCATACATAGTTCCAGCAGCCAGGTTATTGACAAGAAAAGTTTTGCTCGTAGGAGGTATCATTCTGAGGGACAATGGAATTAGTGTTAATATTAAAACGAAAACATATATACACACAATCATTATGACTCCAGCTCTGTTTCATTTCAGCACTCATTAGGATAAGCCCAATAATAACAGACATGAAACATGGGAAAATGATCTAATCTTACCCCAGTTAAAATGGCTAAAAGTTACTGTTGTATTCTACACCATGTCTTTGAAAAGCTTATCAATGACATTGCTTGGCAAAGCAGAAGTCCAAATAAAAGCCACTGCTGAAAAATAACTTATGACAAATTGCTTTTGAAAGGTGTGACTGTGACATTATCAGACTGCTAAACAAATCCATTTAGTACTTACACCACCTCTGTGACTAAAAGCCAATTTGAAGGAAAAGAAAACACTGACGATCACATTAGAAACCAGAATGGAAATGCATTTTGAAGTACTTATTTTCCAAATCAGTTATAAGCTGCTATGGAATGACACCCAGTAAAACTATCTTTAATAGATAAGATCATTACTAACATTAAAGTATTTTTTAGGAATCTCACTCCTCTCTTAATCCTTCAACACTTGGTTCCTTGTATGTTTTTATATGAATATGAGGTCGATGAAAATGTATGCCTGATATCCTATACACATGAACAGGTCAAGACTATTTACCAGAGAGAGCATAAATCCCTCAACCTCTCCATTGTGGGATGATGGATTTACTTTCAAAACAGTTTCTAAAATTTGATGAGTCTATAGTTATCTCTGAATCCATTACATTACAAAAGTCTTCTGTGGAATATTTTCCAATAACTCAGTAGTAACTTACACTATGACCAAAACTTACATTTAACGTGTGGGGGGGAAAGGTTTAAAACTCTTTTTTCCAAAAAGAAAATTTTGGAAAAACTTAGCAATACTAACATGTTGTACAACCTAACAATACTGTCTAACTGTACTAGGAAACTCTTAGGCCAGAGTATTTATTTGTAATTGAAATTACTATAATTTAGTGAGTGCTAATAAATAACAGACATTTCTAAGAATTTTATATACATTATAATTTAATTTTTACAATGGCTGTATGAGGTAGGCATTATCACAATTTTATACATGACAAATATTAGGGACCATTTCAAGCTATTTCCTTAAATAGAATTTAATTGTAATGGCAGGATTAAAATCTTGGGATTTAGAAAATAGAAACTAACCTATTTCACAGAGTTAATGTTTAAAACATATAGAATGTGTTATATGTTTTAAGGAAAGTAAGGGGATAGAGGTAGATGTTTATCTTTCTCTGTGGGTTAAATAACTCATAGCTCAGGTGAAGAGCTGAGTATAACAAAGACCCAAACTACTTTATACTAATATACATGAATCATAGTCTGCATTTCATATATCTAGTAATAAGACAGATATTAGAAACCGTTTACCCTAATCTCTTCCTTTTAAAGATGAGGAAATTAAAACTCAGTCAGGGAGAACCTTGCCCAGGATTGATCACATGACTAGCTGAGCTAGTTTTGTTTTTCCTACCAGCTTATGCTCATTTTAAAAAACTTATCTCATTTCCATACATGAGGGAAAACCAAATTATCTTCAAGAATTCACATAGGTATGAAAGAACTGAGTTGATCTGATTTCACAAAAGGTATAATTCAAAGCCATAATTTTGCATCATTTCCCAGGATTAATAAGAATTTATCATGAGTGAAATTATATGAAGGGATAAAAAGGTATATTCCAACTGAAAATTGGACAAGATGTGACTATAAATCAATGAGGCTGAAGTTTAGAAAAACATACCAGAAATTCTTTAGTCAGATGCAAATTCTCTCCATCAATGTCCTTCCAGGAGATTAAATATTTATCTTCAGTGATACTCTCACTGCTCAAAATATGTATGAAGTTTCCCTTTGGAACTGTCTTAAGAACCAGTGTATATGAGACAACACATCACATATACACAATCAGTCACTCAAGATATCAGTCTCATTATTTTATAGTTACATCTTATTTTTGACCAAAAATGGCAATACCCATCTTGATCACCCACCTTATTCATAAGACTTGGCTCCAAATGGCTTTTGCTTGTTTCCAAAATTCAAATTCACCCTCAAAAGACGATGATTTGCCACCACTGAGGATATTCAAAATAGTATGATGAAGTTCTAAAGATAATTCCAAAAGTGCTTTGAGCAATGGCAGCATCATTGGGATAATGGTATAGCCTCCCAACATGACTTCCTTGAAGGAAAGAACACTCATATGGATATGTAAGTTCTGGTATGTTTTTAACTTTTTAAAATAAATCCATCTTGTTCTCTGATAGTCACATCTCTTAGAGGAGGGTGGAAAGTAACCATAATATTATATATAAATTTGAACTCTCTTAACATAACACCATTCAAAATAGTTTCCCACATGAATTCATCTTTCAAAAGCTTCACATTTTAAGCCTTACACTTAAAAATGAATTAATATAACTACAATATAGTGTAGCAGTGACAAAAATATCAGAATACCATAAGAAGCCGTACACTAAGATGCATGGCAAGTATACAAATTTGTTTAATTTTTCTTACCTGTAAACAAGGGTGTCATCATAAGTACCATTGTACTGGATTTGAAACATACGTATTCCAGGAATATTTCTTTGAAAATTAAACTTAAGTAATGCCGTAGATGACGTTGCTTCTGCCACCACAATTTTATCTTGACTCATTTTGGTATCACCATTACTAGTGCTTGCATTAGAACCTGACTTAGTAGAAGTTGAAATATCTGAAGAACCAGGATCAGGCTCATGGATGTGATTTGTACTGTTCAGTAAGTGAGGGAGCTTAATTATGTGAAGCTCCACTGTTTGTGTGGCTTCCCCTGCAGGATTGGAAGCGATGCAGGTAAAAGCACCCGTATCCTTTACAGTTGTTATCATGATGTCCAGTGTTCCATTATCATACACCAGAGATCTTGTTGCATTTGAAATCAGCTTCCCTTCAGGAGAAATCCAGTGGATTGCAGGTTCAGGGTCTCCCCTGGCTTTGCATCTCAGGGTTGCTCTTTGACCCTCCAGGACTCTCATCTCATGTGTATGGCGAGTAATGAGAGGAGGCTCACACAAAAACTCTTCCTCAGGAATTGACCAAAAATAGCGACCAGTTAAAAGTGCTGGAGAAGCACAAGTCTCTAGGTCATCTTCTCTGGACAGACGTCTCAACCACAACAATTCACAATTGCAGTGCAAAGGGTTGCCACCAAAACTTAATGCAAACGTAGACGGGTTTATGATTCCTGAGGTCGCTAGTACCTGAGCTCGCTGGAAGAGAGGGTCAGGTGGTAGCTTCTGCAATTTATTTGATGTTACATCTAGCCGCGTCATCTTGTGCAAGTGGGAGAAAGTCCCCTTGGGAATGTTATCAATCATATTGTGATCCAAACTAAGAGTGTGCAAGCTAACCATCTTCTCAACAGCATCCCAAGGAATTGTTTCTAAATTATTATAGGACAGATCCAGCTCTTCAAGGGCAAAGACATCATCGAATGCTGTAGATGAAATTAAAGTCAGCTGATTGTTGTTCAGTATCAAATGATGGAGATTGGAAAGCCCACTGAACATATCATTTGTAATTTTAGTTAATCTGTTGCTATTCAAATGCAATGCCCTCAGATTTCGTAAGTCAGCAAAAGCATGCGGTGTAATAAAACTTATTGTATTCCTGGATAGAGTCAGGTCCACCAAGCTGGTCATATTGGCAAAATCTTTCCTTTTAATATTTGTAACAAAATTGTCTGCCAAGCGCAGTTCCACAGTTCTTCTGTCAATGTTTGGTGGAACAAATAAAAGCCCTTTCTTGGCACAAAGGGTTGCAAGATTAGGAGACAAAATTTGACAGACACAACGCTTTGGACAGATCTGAGCTCTCACTGCTATGCCAATGAAAAACAGATAAAAAAGGAATTTTTCCATTGTAGATCAGATTTAAGAGCCTGTAAAAAAAGACGAAATGTAGAGTTAGCATTTAATAGTTTCACCAAAGTTTGTATTCCTATTAAAATAATCTATTTTTGTCTCAATTAAAACACAGAAACAATTTATTAATTTGTTTATTTAACAAATAAGTATAAAATGCCCACTCTGGACCTGAGGATATTATGGACACTAAGATACTAATAAAAAAATATATATACTATTTATAGCCTCATGGGATTTAAAATCAAATGGGGAAAAGAAGTCAATAGATTACTATAATTCTGTAAATTGTTATTTTTAAAATATCGTCGGGGTACTCCTTGGGTGCATAGAAAGAGGTATTTAGCCCAAATTGTAGGGTAGGAGTTCTGGAAAACTTCCCATAGAACCCAAAAGGTATAAGTTCAAAAGCTTAGATATATTTAAGGATTTGCAAATATTTCAATTTACTGGCCTGGATAGAAACAGGGAGAGACAATATTTGTTATTGTTAACCTTATGGCATTATATTAGAAAATAATTAATTTTATTAAATTTTATTTTTCTTTATGAGTTATATTAAACATAATACAACATTCACATTCTAACAGTAATACACAATCTTATTTTCAAAAATAAAAATGCTGAAAATTTACCATAAATGCTCTGGCTTCTATAATATTAGGACATTTTATTTGATATAAACATGTATTTATTTATTTATTTATTTATTCATTTATTTTTTAGTGTGTTTTATGTGATCACAAATGCATTATTCTTTTTTTAAATATATTTTTTGAAGACAAGTTATCAAAATACTTGGCAGTGAGTCCAAAAAGATGTCATATTCCACTTTCTTTTTCTTAAAATCTTAATGAATTTACATTCATCCAAACTTAATTTAAAAGAACCTGATGCTTTCATTTTCAAGTTTGATCTTAAGTTTTTGCTCTTGAAATTAATGCTCAAAACAAAAATATATATATTAATATATATATATAATTAAAAATTCTCATACTTTACTAGTACATGTAGTTGTACAAGCCAAGAGGAGAAATCATTAGAATTCTTAATTGAAAATAATATGAAATAAGGAGTTATTCTAGAAATAATGCACCTGGTTTTCCAAAATAAAACTTATTGTTGTAGGTTCAATTTACTTTATGCCTATTTGATGCCATATTAAATGTGATTGCAATAAGTAAGGATTGTCATTTTTAACAAATGAAACAGAGTCATTATTCTAGGTTTAAGATAGACTGACTAGTATTGTGTTAGCCTTTCCAAAATAAGCAGCAAAAAAATAAAAAATATATAAAACTATAGTTTTCAGACATCAGAAAAGAGGAAATACAAAACTGTGTTCCTTGAGATAAGTGAATAAAAAAAAAAAAAAACAACCCCATTATTGCTCCTAGAGACACTTTCTAAACCACAGCACAGAAGGGAAAACAAGGCAAAGCATCAATGGTCTTAATTAATTGAAGAAACAGAGATTGGAGTGCAGAAAGTCTTCAGTGGCTTGAATGTATAAGGCAGAGTAGCAGAAAGGCGAGTTTTCAGAACTCCAGTAATCTCAATATAGAGGCAGGGGAGTGAATACTAGCCAAAGTGAAACACTGATTAAAAAGAAAGATATAAATAAAATTGAACAAGACTCAGTCACCTGTGAGAAAATATTAAGCAGTCAAACATACATATAATTGCATTATCAGAAGAAGGCTGTAAGGTCAAAATATACTTGAAGAAATAACAGCAAAATGTGTGATTTAAAAAACAGAAACAACCCCTAAATCTAAGCTCAAAATAATAAAGACCACATCAACACACATCACAATTATACTGCAAAAAAAGTATTAAAAACAGTCACATAAATAAGACACATCACAAGAAGATAAAATGAACAAAATTAAAATAATGGCTGACTCCTCACTGACTTTCCTTAGGAAGTAAACCAAGATGGAGGACTAAAAAATATTTCTAAAGTACTTCAAGAAAAAAGAAGGCCTGTCATCTTGGATGTGAATTTAACCATTCATAAAAGACCAAAGTAAAATAAAGATATTTTGAGAGAGATACAAATGGAAAGATTCATCACCCGTGGAACAGAACTTTAAAAAATATAAAGGAATTCTATTCAGTCTGAAAGAAAATTATGTCAGACGGCATCTTTAATCTTTATAAATGTATGAAAAACAACATAATTGGTATATCTTAATGAATTTACATTTATCCAAATTTAATTTAAAAGAACCTGATGCTTTCATTTTTAAGTTTGATCTTAAGTTTTTGCTCTTGAAAATAACATCATAATGCTGAGGATGCAAATAAACTTAAAAGAACTATATTCCAGGAAGTGAATCCTCTATGAAAGGGGAGAGATCCATGGATGATCTCCTATTTTCCCCACCAACAGAAAGGTAGAACGGGGATCCACCACTGTTGTTCTTTTCCTTCAGTGATATGTAATGTTGACTATTCTGGATCATATGAACTTTAGATTCATTTGTCAACATCCATAAAACAGCTTCTGAGTTTTAAGAATATTTTTGTATGCTAAGTCCTTTATCAGATATGTCTTTAAGTACAGTAATTTCTTCCAGTCTCTGGCTTAGGATTTCTGTCTTCTGGAACAACTGTAAATTGTTCATATGATAGCAAGGTTTCAAGTGAGAGCAAGTGTATATAGTCTTATGATTAGGTCTCAGTGTTTTAGTGAGGCAGCCCCTCTGGACTGTGGTACTTGTACACAATGGAATACCACACAGTGGGGAAAAAGAAGGAATTCTTATCACTTGCTACATCATGGATGGGCCTGGAGAATATTATGCTAAGTGAATTAAGCCAATCAGAGAAAGGTATTACATGATCACACTCATATGTGCAATCTAATAAACAAAATAAATTGAAGAAAAAAAATAGATCCAAAGACACAGAACTATGAACAGACTGATGAATTTCAAAGGGAATGTAGGGTGGGCGGGGGTGGAGGGGTGAGATTAATCAGGGAATTTGTATCCATAGATGCACAGCCCATGGACACAGACAGTAGTGTGGTGAAGGCTTGCAAGGGGCAGGTTCAGGGAAGAGGGAGTCAATCGGGGGGAAAAACCACACAAACAAACAAACAAAAAAAGGAGGGGAGGGAGGCATCAGTAATACTTTCAATGGTGAAGATTAAAAAGAAACCACAAAACGAAAACATAAGTGTTCCTGTGTCCCCTCTTCCTTAGGTAAGACCGATGGCTACAGCGAGCTGGAGTCAGCCTTTCCCTCGTGTAAGCCTAGAGCTGGCTGGATTGAGGTCTTTCCTCCCCAGGTCAGTGAGGCTCAGATAATACCACAGCAGCTAAGCTCTACTTAACTTTGTTTCCCCTGAAGACAGGCCTTGTTAAGAAGTAAAGACCTCTAACATAAGGGTTCCTTTCCTTCTCCCTGCTCAAATATTTGCTAGGGGAATTTGGTGGAGTTCCTGGAAGTAAATCTAAAAATATTGTGGGCCCCTCCCTGATGGATGGCTTCCCCTGAAGTTTTTAACTCAGATGTGTGTGCACTGAGTCTCCAGCAAGTCATCATAGCACTTGAGGTTTCCTTACTCTGCCACTGTTCCTATAGTGTTTTTGTCTTTGCTGCAGTCAGCTGGGACTCCCTGCATTCCCCCTCTTTCCAATGTGAGGAATGGCTACCCTATGTCTTCCCTCTCTTCTGGACCCAAGAAAAGTTTGTTTATTTTTAAATTTTTCAGTATGCCAGAATTTTTTTACTTTTGTTATAAGAGAGTTGCAACATCCAAGCTCCTTAACATGTAGGACAAGAAACCGGAATTTTAATGGATTTTTAAGAACCACATGGAGACTGGTATAAGAAAATAAATCCTAAAGAACCCCATACCAAGGCAAAAAAGTGTTTTCCTCACATTTCATTCTTATTTATCTTCATTCATGCGGATCTTACTTAGAAAATATGGAGATGGGAAGAGAACATAGGCAGATAGTCTATATTTATTAAGAAAAAAGAATCGAAGATAAAAAGAAAAAGTACTTTGAATCCTCCAAGTATACCAGAGTTCCATCTGTGGAAGAATAGGGAAGAAGTAGAGGCCTGAAAGAAAAATTTCATCATCAGGACTTTCTGCAATAAAACTCTGAAAAAGGGCATGCAGAGTTCAGTTCCTTTCCTCCTATCCAGATATTTCTGACTTCCACCACAGAATACCTGGGGTGGCACTGGAAAGGTGAGAAAATTTGCCTAGAAAATATTACTACCTTCGTGGAATGTATAGAATCTCAGTTCTAGCCCAAAACAAAGACATGTAGGAGTAAGCTTAGAAATCAAACAGAAGTCCTTAGCCACCAAAACTGCTGGCCTCTGTGCTATTATATAGGGTGAGGTTTCCAAACGTTTAGACATCACATGGTTTATCTGCAAAACAAAGATTTCCCAAACCACTCCCCTGCTAAGATCCCATGTCTGAATAAACAGGAAATTCCCAACCAGGCTCTCCAAACATTTGATGCTGTGGTGAGCTGAATTACAACACTACCATAGCAATTATAGACTGAGCTTAACCTGCAGCACATATAGCCTCATTCCTTACTCTAGTAGACTGAAAGAAGAAACACCCCACCTTTTAAAAAGTATTTATTTCATTTTCTACTTTACTTTATTATAAAATATGTTGTATAAAGAAGTCTCTCACACACACACACACACACACACACACACACAAATGAGAAAGCAAGAAAAAATGGCTAACATTCTAAGAAGGAAATTGTCAATAGAAACAGACCAATAGACATACCAGATGTCAGAATTGTCACAGCAAATGAAAATGAATATTTAAAAAATGCTGAAGTGTCTGATAGAAAAGGTAGACAACTTGCATGTAATGGGTAATATTAGCAGAGACATAAAAACAGTTGTAAAAATTGAAATGGTTTGGAATAAACCATTAGATATATTTAAGGGAATACTGGGCACAGCAGAAGAGAGTATCAATGAGTACAGATTGATAAAAA